CAGTAATTCCACAGGCAGTACGTTTCTCGTCACATTAAACTTAACTACTTTTTATAATGCACGCTATAAATCACAGCGATTCACAATCTCGGTAACTTCACACACACTAGCTCGAAACAGAATCGTAACTTACCCGGAACTCTCTTCATTCCTTCCCGCAGGCTTTAACTGCCAGGCTTATATACTAAAAAGAGAGAGCGTCTCGAACAAACTCGGTCTTCCTCAATAATTTATGATCATTCGAGAAATTCATCACGTGTTACCAGCGTCATGTGACTTCCGCTGTCGTAACAACATTCATTCTATTTTCTGTATGAAAACATATGCTCAAAAATGACATTCCAAACTTTTATTACACCCTTAGGCCAGCTTTGCACTTTTCATGTTTGGAAATATTAGTAATTAGTACATTTATGTGATACTTAAAAGTGTGTAATTACATATAATTTTACTTATAAAAAATTGTGTATAAAATATATTTTGTATATTTTTTTTGTAGTAGGGGTTGGGGGCTTAACCTCACCAATAAGTTACATATGGGTGTCCTAACTTCCATTTAAGAGTTTCTACTGTGATAACTACAAATATAGTTGCCATATTTGAACTAGATGTACATAAACATGTTATTAATTAATATGGTGATTTTTTTATTTCTTTGTGTGGCAAATAATGCAATTGCTTTTTATTCTTACTTTAAAGGCTGCCATACTACAGCAAACAACTGAATACATCTACCAGCTTGAGCAGGAAAAGGCCAGACTTTTGGTACAGAATTGTCATCTGAAACAGATGCTTAACTCTCAAATAAATATGGACAGCGATGGGAGTAGCTCTGATTCCCCATTACCCAAACGCAAGAAGACTGAAACAGGTATATATGTTTGGTAATGAAAGTCCAGTGATACACACCAGAAAAGTGTTACGTATTAGAATTTCGAATGGTCTGAAACTGAGTTAACTGACAAATTTAAATTTAATAGTTAAATTGTACTTTAGATTTAACAGTTAAGTAAAAGCCAATATATAGTCAGTTTATGATGTTTGCCAACAAGATTGATACATACAGATTTATTTTATACAAATACGTTTTAATATACACACAACAATACAATTTACAATAACAGTTATTACAAACAATGATTTATAAACAAAAGGTTCACAAACTTACGAGCAATATAAAGTCTTCTTTCTAGTTTGGAACTCCCTTGATATCTTATCGAGGGTTTACGATGAGCAAGCTAATTACGAGTTGATCTAAGTACGATTTGCAGGGAAGCTAGCTAACTTTGTCCTTGGCCACACACGCTAGGTTTTCCACCGTTGAAGTTAGGTAATATTTTCGTAAAAATATTAATGTCCGATGAAGAATCCACTGAAGTTAGACGATTTGTAATGTTCGAAATATATAAATATTCCTGGTCAAATATCTTGATAAACGTTATAAAAATCACACTTATAACTTTCGAAGTTTATAGCACATTGATTATAGTGAACTACTAAAAGACATTCTCTTGGTGCATCGCATTGATTATATTTATAGCTGTGGGAAGATTTTCTAGAAAATTCAGATTATGCAACTATGCAAATTAAAGTGTTTACATACACACATATACTTTTGATTCTTACTCTCGAGAATCTTCTACAACTTTGGAGAATATATCTAACACTATCAGCTAAGCATGTTTTTAAATATAAACTCAATCCAAACAAACGTTGACACTAAAATAAATATATAACAACAAATTCGTTACAAAAGTTACTTGATAATAGTGTGAATGAATGAAACAGAACATTAAAAAAAGCTTTAAAATATTCCATACTGGTGTCTGGACAGAGGAAGTCATAGATGATAGCTTTTCTTACCACTAACGTTGTGCATTTTGGTGGAGAAAACATTGTGAAGCCAAGTATTTTATTGGTTCACAAAATATCATTGACTTAAACCTTGAACAGAAGATATTACTAAATCATGACCATAATTTGTATACAAAACAAAGAGTGTGTTTTGATGGGGAACAGATTCATTTTATATATTCTATAAATTTCCAAGACATGGCGTGATAATTTTTTTTTAAATCTTTGTGTTTACTAAGTACAATGAAAGCTGAATAGTATTTGAAAATTCGTATCAGTGTTTTCAAAAAAAGAGAAATGCTTAAAGATTTAAATTTCATTTATTTTGATATAAGAAAGAGTACAAGTATGAAACATATACCCCAAAGTCTTCCATTTTAAATATATTTTCCTACTTACTAAAAGACTTCTTAGGATGATGCTAGTTTTAAATTTTTGCTGAATGTGTCAAATTTTCTGTGTTTATCAATAGTTTGGAATGTTTTAACCAAGGACACAAATCATCCAAAAGTATGAAAATGCCATGAATAATTAGTTAATTATCTAAATACGCAAGTGGTTTTCTTTTAGTCCAATTACTTCTATATAGAATACTTTAAAAATTTCTACATAATACAAAGATTATCATCTACTGTACAGAGTGTTTATTATTTAATAATCCAGATACAAAAAGGAATTTTGATTATATTAAATTGTAATTGTTTTATGAATTAGTTTATGTTAGTATCATAATTCTTTTTATCATTTGTTTATGAAAACTGTATACTTTGACAGTATTAAAGTATTTCTCATTACTTTTTAAAAATAATGAATGACTAAATTTTTCATCTTTTGTCTCTACAGATAAAATAATGTTTAATTGTATTTGTGTATAAAGTAGAATCTTCAGATGAAGGAATTGGAAACATGAGCCCTGCCAAAAAACTTGGTGATGTAACAGAGAAGGTAAAGCAGGAACTGAGTGACCAGAGAGTTCAATTAGACAGAAAACACCAAATTCAAGTATTACAAGAGAATCAAGCAAGAGGCACAGAAAATCGGATTTGTACTGATCAGGTTCAAGGAGTGGTTCAAATTCATCCACCAGAGGTAATTATTTCTCCAATATATCTTAAGTTGATCTGAGGTTTGATCATTATTTCTATATATATTTTTGTGCACTTTGTTCTTTATGAAGCAAATGCTTACATGTTATTTTTGTGTTTGTATACAAAAAATTGTTATGGGATATAATATACACATATCACTTTCAATGAAATAAAAAGTTTTCTGAGAATGAGGTTCTTTGATCAGGTAATAATCAGCAAATCCACAAAAATTATATTTTCTTGTTTTATTCATTGAATTGCAGAAGATTTTTAATACCCCCTTTAGAAGAAGAAAAATCACATCAGCTCTTCTGTAAACTTATTAAAAATTAAAATTATTTCAAAAAGTTAAAGGAATAAATTGATTTGAATACATTATAATAAAATTATATGACAACCACAGTTACTATAAAGTTATGATAAAATGGCATGTATTAGATTTACATTTGGATATTAGTTGGTGTTTTGTAAGAAGTGTGGTGTCACCAAAAATTGATCTCTCTGGGAAAGATAAATAACATCCCTTTCTAATGCAAAATATTCATACACTGTATCATAAAGATGTGTTCAGATTAGGGATTTAGAATTTCCAAGACAGAGATATCCTTTGAACTTAATGGCATTAGAAAAAAAAAAGAATATGAAATAGCTTAGAGCACTAGAACCATCAAAATATATCATCAATAAGTCATATCCCAGAAGTATTATGCAAAGTGTGGTGTCCTGTAACAGGTGAGATTCCACGATCAGAAAAAACAGTAGCAAAGGTCATCTATATGTCTCAGGCAAGAGGACACGATATAATAAAGAAATATCTCTGTCTAGAAAAGTAACACAAATCATATGTAAATAAGTTGCTTCCTCAACATATCCATTCAACCACTGACTACCTTATGCAGCTAGAACCCAACTTAGAACTTAACCCAACTTTTATTTTTTGAAACACTATGTTGATTAAGTGCATTAATGGTCTAATCTTCTAATTACCATGACTGACATTTTAACAGCCCCAATTCTTTTAATTATTCTTATTATGTCGGATTTTTTGGTTAATTCAAAACTTTAGTTGAATCTTTCTATAGCCAGCTAAGGAAAACGTTTTCATCAATAATATGATTTGCTACACATCAGATATTTAGTTAAATAAATTTATTTAAGTAGAGGATATTGCTTCAAATTTTTCTTAAATAACATATAGCTTTCTTATGATCAAAGTAAAAAAAAATTAAAGATCTGAAAATATAAACTGATTGGGTTATGCTCATATTAACTTATAATTCGTGTTATAAATTTTTCCTTAAATAATTTCTTTTGTAGAATACAGAAGCAGAACATCTGCCACAGCTGCATCAACACTCATTTCTTCAGAATGAAAAGCCTCCTTCCAACCAAACTGTTGTCTTGCCTCAAAATAAGAGTGATCCTTCTGAAAAAGTTGTATCTTTTCTGAGAAGTTCAAAACATTGTCCTGATATCCCAAGAAAAATATCAGGAAAGGCTGCTGCTGTAATCACACCTCATTCTGGTGACGTAATAGCAACTTCATCATCACAGTTTTATGTTCAGGAATCTTCTGCTGCTTCTTCAAAATCACTGCCTCCCACTGCCACTGAAGGTTATGGTTTACCACTAAGACCTACTGATACTGAAGGGTCTATCAATAACACTGCCCTCTTTAATCTTTACCAAGCAAACAGTACTTCTCGCCAGAACTTGGAGACAATTGTGGAAGCTATTCGTCACCTAGAAGGTGACCACATGTTCCAAGATGATCCTGAGCCACTGAAACAATGTGAGCAAGAAAGGACAATATCAGATGGTAGTGCTTCTCATGAACTCAACTCTCCATATAATCTTTTGTGTAAAACAAACAAAAACAGTCACCTTAACTACCAAGTTATTCAGTGTCTTTCTGGGACACAGTCACGACCAGGTGTCATTGTCACCAATCATTCATAATTGCTATGTCTGGTGTATGTCTCATTTTTATGTGGTGATTTTGTTCAATGTACTTATTGCTGTTGTAATAATTTGCCTTCTCTGTAGTAGTACATATTCAATAATTTGTTAGGAATTTTAGTACCTTGCTATAGCTTATAGCTCATTCACTGATTTTATAAGCAGCATTTGTATTATATTATTCAGTGTCGTATCTCAGTTATTTTCACTTATCATAGAGCTGAAATGTAATCTATTGTTGGAGTTGTGTATATAACATATATGTGGATGATCAGAAAACTGTTTTTGAAAATACTGAAATGTACCTAAATTATACAATCAAAATGTATGTCTACACTATCTTTTGTACAGTGTGTGTATTGATGTATATATGTGTGTATAGGTTTCTTCGTGTGTATGTGTGTGCACTTGGACATATATATATATGTACATGACTTAAAACTTTATTTCTTAAACACATTGATAGAATTGGTATTTAAGTTCTTGAGGATGAAGTGATGTTTGTATAAAGATTCTTTATGACGATAAATTGAGAATTATTAAGCTATTAAGAACTATACACAGGTGGCACTTATGTAATGTTGGGTTTTAGAAGAGTTTGACTATATAAAAACATTTGTTATACATGTGGGGTGTAGAAAAAATAAGATAAATGTTTACATATATATTTTACTTCTTTAGAGTTAAGTACGTTTTTACTATTGTGCTGAGAACCTTTCAAGTCTGTAATGTTACACTTTGTTAAAGGGAAAATGTGCCTGTTAGTGTAGGCATTTGTTATGTAGGCATTTGTGAAATAATATAAACACTCTGGTATTGAAAACTTAAATGTTTTTATGTGTGTATGTATTATATGTATGTTTGTATTTGTGCTTTTAATGAAAATGTGTCAGTTCTGTATGTTCTGTTTTCTTTTTTCTGTGTTACTGACTTGAAGAAATATACAGTTGATCTATTTTTCCTGAAATTGTAAAATTTTAATTGTTAATTCAGTGTGACTTGTTTGTCTATTAATCTTGAAGGATTAAGAAGTCTTAATATTTCATTTTGATATGCTTTAAAAGAAGACTTGTTAATTTTAAGCTGTAGCCTATTAAACAAAATTAAATGTCTTGATTTAGTTTTATGATGAATAGATTTGAATTTTTCTAGGCTAGTCAAAATTTAATAACCTTGAATCTTTACAATTTAGAAGATTATTCAAACTGATAAACTAAATTGTGGTACACGTAAATGGTTATTAACAGCTGTGCTAAAATTGTTTGGTAACTTTTTTAGGATCTCTACCTGAGTGAGTAAACATTATGAAAATTTAATCAACAGTGAGTTGGAGTATTGTTCACTCAAATTGCCTTGTGTAGTTTTTCTCTAAAATATGCACTTTCTCATTTTTAAAAGTATCATCCTTTTACTAATTTACATGAAATAATGCTTCTTTTCAGTAATTAAATATTTTCTTGTACATATTGCTTACACTGTTGTTTTGTTAGTTTCTTTCCATAGTGTGTGTGTATATATATATGTGTGTGTGTGTGTATATATATATACATAAATCTATTTGCTTATGATTTATCATTGGATGGGACCAGGTAGTATATGGAATTAGTAAATCTCATGTACCTCAATTAGGTATTGTAAATTAAAATTTTAACAAAGTTTTAAACCTAAGCATTCATAAATCTCAATAGAATGAGCTATAATCCATTTGGTTTTATTATTTATTTATTTGCTTTATTAATGACTATTATTTTGGTTGTTTTGGAATACATACATTTTCTTTCATGTTTGAATAGTTTTTCTGCTTTTACTGTTTTTTTTAAATATATAAACAAAAGAAGTCAGTGGTATGGTTGTAAGGTAATGAAGAGTCAGGGGTTTAACTTGTATCTCAAAGCTGACAACTCTTAAGAAACTTGCTTCTTTGTTCTGTATACAGTGGATTTTTGATATTTAAGGCAAATATCAAAAGTTTAATTTTATTCAAAGCTATATAAAGGATAAAATGTATTGCTTAATTTGTTTTGGTGCAGTTATATAAATATATAATGTTCCAGCAGCAAAAACAAAATTTTGGTCAGAATGAAAATTTTATAATATGAACGTTAACAAAATTATTAAATCTATTTATTTTTTTACTTCTATACAACAGATAGCCAGTTAGTTACTAATATTGTTCATATCTAGAAATTTTATATCATGGCTTAAAAATTCATAAAATGTTATAACTGGGTATTTATATGTTATCATTAAATTGTTTTTTGTTAAAATCACATTATTTTTTAGTTCAAAGAAAGAAATACTATATGCCATTTTTGTGCATCAGAGATAAGCAGTCCTCTGTTTATATTATGTAATAAACACATTTTGATGTTTATTATTGGGTACATAATTGCATGTCATATAGTGCTTACATATTATGTGCTTATCAAGTTAAATTATAATATCATTTAGTGTGTGAAGTATGCCAATAAAATGTTTTCTTTAAAATAGTGATTAAAGTGTTTTTATAAATACATGCTAGAATTGTAGATTTCCTTTTTTTAAGTACTAGACGTTTTGGCCTCAGATGTGTTAAGGATTGATGGTCAAATCCCATTATTCGTTTGAATAAACCAAATGTTGGTGGTGGGTGCTGTTGGATAGCTATCTTCCATGTTGTCTGTCAGTTGAAAATTAGGGATAGGTAGTGCAGTGTAGCTTTTAGCTTTGTACAAATATCCAAAGCACAAACTATAATAGACCTGGCATGGAAATAATCAGTAATATCCAAAAATTCGACAGTACTTTCTGGGTTTGAACTTGGTACTGAGAGCTACTTGTATTCTGTGATTACGATCCCAGCATGGCTAGGTGGTTAGGACGCTCGACTCGCAATCTGCGGGTTTGAATCCCGACCCACCAAACATGCTCGCCCTTTCAGCCATGGGATGTTATAACGTGACGGTCAATCCCACTATTCGTTGGTAAAAGAGTTGGTGGTGGGTGATGATGACTAACTGCCTTCCCTCTAGTCTTACACTGCTAAATTAGAGACGGCTAGCGCAGATGGCCCTCGTGTAGCTTTGCGCGAAATTCAAAACAAACAAACAATTAGATTAGGTAAGGAGGAAGAGGTCCCAGCGCACCTGACCCTCCTAGGTCACAAAGACCTAAATTCCTATCAGGAGAGAGAGGTAAGAGGTATGCTCGCAAGCAGCTCGTGCATTACGTAATTTGTTATGGTAACGTGAGCTACACGTTCCCCGAGTGATTTACAACTTGTGTGACGAGATATTTGATTAGACACAGTTCAATGGGGAATAAAACAACAAAATGTAACTAGAAACAGCTGTATACTGTTACGAGCTGTAGTTTCCTGTTATCATTTGCAGTCATTTTAGAAAGAAAGAAAAGGGTAATTTAGATTTATTTCGTAGTTTTATGGTGGTTTTGAGGTGGTCAAATTGACCGAATGGGTATAGAGTTATGGTAGAGAAAATAACATAAAATATAAAGTTTTACTGAAAAAAGTTTGATATTTATTTAGGAGATTTTAGAGATCGCGCAAATGAAATTTCACTGTTTTGCAACAAAGAAAATTATTATTAATCTTAACATGAAGCCCCCCAGTGGCACAGCGGTATGTCTGCAGACTTACAACGCTAGAAACCCGTGTTGAGCACAGATAGCCCTTGTGTAGCTTTGTGCATAACAAAAACAAACAAACTTAACATGTAAATCACTTTGCACTAGGAGCAGTCAACACTTTGACTCCTTATATTCATGGAAAGAGGAATGTTTGGTAAAAATACTTAGATAAAAAAATTAGCCTTGTGATGTTTACTGAAAGCTTGTAAAAACTAGTGAAGATACACAAAATACATTAAAAGTTATAGTATGGAAACTCTAAAGGTCAGTTTGGAGTCTCAAACTCGGTCGAATCAGGTATTCATTTTATAAGGATGTCACTTATTACAGGTAGAACATTTGCACGAAAATATAAGAAAATATTTAACCAGACTATATTTAACTAAAGATATATTGCTCACCAGATGTAAAAAATTAAAATTGCCAGTTTTTCCAACCATCTTTCAGAGAGACACTGCAGCTACGAGAAAAACAAAATAACGTGCCGTGCTGCATCTTTTCCCAGTATTTTGTTCGCTTAGTATATGTTATGGGCTTATATTTTGGCTTAATCCTACTTTACATTAAATTTATATAGTTTCATCTTGCTGCTAGCTTTATTTAAGTTAAATTCAGTTTTCATTTAATTTTTACTGTATTTTTATTTAGCACTTCGCTTTCATCATGGTACATTATCCTGAATAAAGTGTTTTTGTCTACCAAACTTCTCTCACACTTCTTATGACTTTCTACTGGTTGATCAGTAACAAGTATATGGATATATGTACATCCAATCTGATTGTTATAAAGTAGCTTAACACATAGATGTAGGCAACCAGTACAAATGTGGTATTCAGATACACTGATATCCACCACGTAGTTGCAGGAATGCACAAAATGCGGGTTCCATAAATGTTATACAGAGTAATATTTCAAAGACTGCCAACAAAGAAAAATAAGTAAACACAAGTGAATAAATAAAAACAATCTTTATTCACAAATAGTTGTATTCAGATCCGTTGGGCAGTTCCCAATAGTCCTCTTGTCAATTGCAAAGCACACAAACAGTCAATTTCGGAAATGTTCATTTTCATATAGTCGACACAAAAAGTATGTCACAGCACTGAAAGTAAATATAAATACACAAACGTTTTGTATAACAGCGACCTCATTGGAATTATTTATATATACTATACTGATGTAATTTTCATCTGCAGTTCCATGACATACTCAGTCAAGATATCTGTAGGTGTTTCAACGATTGCTGGAACTAAGTTTCAGATACTCTTTTAAACACTTGTTTTATTCCACCTAATTTCGTCCACATCGAGAATAAACAAAGTAAGGGCTTTGAAATTTAATGCTTTTGTTCTTTATCTTGAAAAATTATCTTTCCTAACATTGATTTAAAAAAAACAACAGAAATCTGTGGATACTTTAATTTCAAAATATTTTTTATTTTGTTCCTCAAAACATGAATAATTTTACCCATGTTTATTGAGAAATACAATCACAATATTTCTAAACTAAACTGTCTAACCCATTTGACCTTCTGATCCCACGAACTTATCAGCAAACGCCATGAGCAATTCATTGGGTTTACATCTCTATAT